GTCGACGAGCTCTGAAGGCTCCGAGCATCCAAATTAGGAGAACAAAGGCTGCGATGGTAGTCGTGTTTTCAAGGTACACGATGATTGGCCAGCATCTTCAAAGGACACATGTGATTGGTGGATTTGTCTGTCAGTCAATGAGATTAACTTTTCAATTGGCCTAACTCGAAGTTGCAAAACTCACGTGCCTTTCCTCTTCCTAGAAGGCGGTGCCTGCTGGTTGTTACCTGCTGGTGGAGAAGCTTGTTGTTGTTGTTATTGTTGTTGTTTGTGTTAAAGTTTAAAAAAATAAGTCTTCTAAAATGGGAGCCCGAGACGATGAATACGACTACCTGTTCAAAGGTAAGTTTATCTCTGAAGGGGGATGAATGTCAGCGTCTCGGTCGTCTTTAATATGGCTCTCGGTAACAACAGGAGCAACTGAGGAAGTCAGTAATGCTAAAGTTAGCTCCACTGGTAGCAAAGTAGCAAACGATGAAACGATACCTGCTGAAAAAACTGACGCTGCTGCAGGTAGAGTTTGGAAATTCAGTGAACAAATGTGCATTCCCTAGCTTTAGGATACACCTTATCCCAGTGAGTAAGTTTAGACACGGCAGCTGTCAGGCTGCTTAAAGTGTGTTTAAGTAGCTAGCCGCTAACATTACAACGACGTTCCTACTTTGAAGTTAACTGAAACGAACCCATGTTCTGATTATATTTGATCTGTAAATCAATTAGCTGGATAACTTGGTGATAACGACCTTGAGTATGCCTAACAGGAATAATTAATGTCATTTTATTCTCTCTGACATCATCAGATTTGTTTGTCGTCACGTTAACATTAGACAAAATATGTCTTATATTAGTGAAGGTGGTGTGCATGACCAAAGTGAAATTCTAGCGTAACGTCAGTTTGAAAATGTCAGTGTTGAAAAAAATGATTTTTTTTAAGTGTTAAAAATATTAAAGCTGATGAGCCACATCATTAAGAAAAGGGGAAGCAGTTGTGGAAACTAGGATAAAAACAAAGCTGATGATAAGTTAGCAACGGTATGGCACTACAGATGTGATGCCTTCTTTGAAAAGTGTAGAGAAGGTCAGAGAGTGCTTCACTGTGTCTCTGTGGATCTAGAGAAAACAAACGATACAGAGGAACTGTGGTACTCTATGAGGAAGTCAGAGGTAGCAGGGAAGTATGTGAGGCTGGTGCAGGACATGTATGAGGGCAGTGAGCCAGTGGTGACACTGGGTTCGGATCGTCTGATCCACCTGAGCCTCTTCTTGTTTGCAGTGGTGATGGACAGACTAACAGATAAGGCCAGGGAGGAGTCTCTGTGAACTGTCATGTTTGCAGACGATACTGTGATCTGTAGTAAGCGTACGTGGCTGCTGGAAGAGAGCCTGGATAGGTGACTGTATGAACTAAGAGAGAAGAGTAATGAAAGTCAGTAGAAGCAAGACAGAGTACCTCTGTGAATGAGAGGGAGAAAGGTGATTAGGTAAGCATGCAAATAGCTGAGGTAGAGAAGTTTTAATACCTGGGGTCAAGTCAGGGTAGAGTGGATGGAGACCAGTGTCAGGTGTGATTTGTGACAGAAAGACAGCAGCAAAAGTGAAAACAAAGCTTTACAAGATGGTAGTGAGACCTACTGTGATGTATGGCTTGGAAATGGTGATAATGAGAAGTAGACAGGAGGTCGAGCTGGAGGAGGCAAAGCTGAAGATGCTAAAATTTTCATTGGGTGGGACCATAATGAATAAGATTAGAAATGAGGACATCAGAGGGATTTAGAAAGCTTGGCAAGTCTGAGATTATTTGGATGTGCAGAGAAGAAATGGTGGATGTTGAGTATGGAGCTGCCAGCGAGGAAAAAAAGAGAAAAACCTCAGAGGAGGTTGCAGAGGGTTGGTGTGACAGAGGAGGATGTTAGGGTTAGGGATATGGTGAGATGGGGGCAGGCAATCTGCTGTGGCGAGTTTGACTGGCTTAAATGGGCTGGCTGTGCACCGTCACAGGGGTGGGAATGCTGCAGCCTTAAGTGAGCCATGGTAGACCACTGACACAGCAGGTCTACTGTTTGCTTTGTTTTTTCATGTGTATGGTGTGTATTTTGATTCTAGTTGTACTAATTGGAGACTCTGGAGTGGGGAAGAGTAATCTGCTGTCCCGTTTCACAAGAAATGAGTTCAACTTGGAGAGCAAGAGCACCATCGGGGTGGAGTTTGCAACCCGCAGCATTCAGGTGGACGGCAAGACGATAAAAGCTCAAATCTCTGGGACACAGCTGGGCAGGAGCGCTACAGAGCCATCACCTCAGCGTGAGTTTGTTTTGTCGTATGCATTACTTAAGGTGCTACGTTAGTAATGGTTATTTATAGGGTAATGTTCACACACTTAGACATGTATAATGAGATGTGTCTTTGCTAATAATTGTGTTTGAACCCCTTAGGGTAATAGACCTGGTACCAGTTTTAAATAAATTAATTGTCCAAATTCCTTTTGTTATCAGGAGGAATTAATCACCCAAGAGGAACCATTTTTGTAACAGCTGTTTATGTAGCCAGTCTGGCCTGATACTCTGATTGCCTTGTTCCTACGTTGTGTTGTGTGAATGATGAGAGGAGTCAACTCTCGCTTTGCCAGCTGGGGTGGGTTTATTCTCCCAAAACTGTTCAAAATAAAAACAACTCGGTGCAGCAAATTTAACTGGGCTTCTGCATGCACAGTTTTAAGGGAGAGAGAAGAATAGCGGACCACATGAGAAATCACCTGCATGCGCCTGTGCCCTAACCTGGGATCGGCAAATTAGCATGTTACAATAAAGTGCTGTACTCGACAGGGAAACAACAGTTAACACTAAAACATCCAACAAAGCCGTGAGACAAAATGCATAAAGGGAACAAGTAATCCTTGAATCACTTAACTGTGTTTAATTGCTGTGTAACCGGGAACACTAGCGTACACTCACCTCTCCTCAGCAGGGCCTCTGGGTGACTGAGGAGAATAGCGAAATGACTTTGTGGGAAGTCAAAGGTCACACAAACAAAATAAAAGCTCCAAAAATATAAATACAGAAAATAGATATATACATATGTACATAAACGATGCTGACAAAGCAAAAAATAAATGATTTTTTAATACACCCGTTACATTTATATGTATAAAATGCAATACAAGAAATCCTGCTGGAGATGCTGGAGTCTTGTGGTGTCAGATTGGTGGCACTATTGTTTTCAGCAAAAGCAGCAAGCCATTGCTCCATTGGATCATTGGGTCCTGTTCTGTTTTCCTTGTATTGTTTGTCTGTCCTCCTTATTTCTGTGGGGATGGAAATGATTGTGAACCTTAGTGTCTTTATATGAAGCTGTCATTAGTCACCAATTATAATCAAAGCAAGTGTAAAAGAAAATGCATTTGGCTTGTAAGTTCTATTTATGGTTTAAACTAATATTAAACCATGTTAATGTTAAAAAGTTAGTTGATAATGATGGCTTTATGACCTCTATCTTCATCAGGTATTATCGGGGCGCAGTCGGGGCTCTCCTAGTTTATGATATTGCGAAGCACCTGACGTACGAGAATGTGGACCGCTGGTTGAAGGAGCTGAGGGACCATGCTGACAACAACATCGTCATCATGCTGGTTGGAAACAAGAGCGACCTTCGACATCTCAGGGCCGTGCCCACTGATGAGGCCCGAGCATTTGCAGGTGGATTTTTGAGTGTTCTTTGTTTTGCTTTGGAGCAGTCAAAGTAGCTCCGTAACATTCAGTTCAATTGCTGTAAAATAAAAATCCCTTTTCTTTCTTTTTTTTAACCTTAGAAAAGAACACTATTTCATTTATTGAAACTTCAGCCTTGGACTCCACTAACGTAGAAGAAGCATTCAAGAGCATTCTCACAGGTAAAAAATAAAAAGTGTGAACTCAACTCAATAATCATCCAGGTACTCTACTGTTAGACCTCCTCTTATGCCATTGTTTTCTTTCCTAGAAATCTACCGTATCGTATCTCAGAAGCAAATATCAGACAGATCTGCACACGAAGATTCTCCAGGCAACAATGTAGTGGACATAAGTGTCCCCCCAACCATGGATGGGCAGAGGGGCAACAAACTCCCCTGCTGCCAAAGCCTGTGACCCTCCTTTTTTCTTTTTCTGGTTGACTTTGTGTCAGAGTTTTCTCTTTTCCCTTCTACTGTCAGATGCTGTCATCTTACCCTCATGGGTTCAGAAGTGTTTGACACAGAGACTCTTAGATTTGACATTCCTTTATGCTGTTTTCTTCTTTGTGCGTCTGAGTCCCGTGTCAAAACAACTTGTCTAAAATACGAAAACTGAGAAGAAAGACGATTGTTAAGCTGTTAACTACAATCTTTTTTTATTCACTAGGTGATGATCCTATTGACCCACTCCTGCTGAAGGAGTGGCGAGGGATCGGTAGGCCTGTTTATGAGTGCTCAGAGGTGTTTTTACTTGGTTCCTTTTCTCAGCCTAATCTGCTATAGTGGAGTCTCATTTTCATGTCGGGTTGACCTGATTCTGCCTGTCTTGCAATGTGGGTACAGAAGAGGAGATGAGAGGAAGGTTCGTTTGGAGTGCTGATGTGTGGTCTGTCAAGAGTTTCTGGTTGCCTCTTTAATTTTTTCCTCTTTTGTGCTGTGTGCCCACTCTGGCATGAAATTAGCATGAGCTTGGGACCAGACTGGCTATGAATGACTGACTCATTATAGGCAAGCATGAAACACATGACACATTTTTGTTTTTGTGTGTGTGAGTGAATGAATTTTAGTTTAGTACACAAACATACCAAAGGAAACTATCAGAATCAGTTTTGGGGAAGCTCATTTCACCGTGTTCAAGGATGTTACGATTGCAGGTGATTGCTAAAAGGTCCAGGCTATTTGCAACAAATGTGTAACGGTCCACAGGAGATGCATTGTTATAAACTTTAATTTCAGAATTAGATTGGGGTTTTTTGCACTAGAGTCCAGTTATTTCAGTGGAACCTTATATTTCAAAATGGCATAAAATTTTCATCAGGTAGCATTTTGCTACCTGTAAGGAAAACAATGCTGACAGAAAAGGAAAAATGAAGTTGAAATTGTTACATTTCTGTACCGAATAAGCCATTGCTGTCATTAATCCTAACTGTTGAACAGGAATTGATAAAAGTTTGTAAACTCAGAACATTATCTGTGGAAAACCAATAAATAAATACTCCCCACATACTGCTTTCACTTCAGCAACATTAATGGGTTTTACTTGAAAAAATGGAAGTGAAAATCAGAAATGCAAATTTTGTTTTCATACTTGGGTGGAAAAAAATATATCCACCCATCTGGTTGAGGTGCTGTCATGCATTAGGTGTTCATAAGAAAGCATATCATACATTTAAATGTGAATTTAATCTGAGCAGATATAATCTTTTTTCCTACTTTTGCATTACACCAGAAAATACTGAATCGTAACTAAAACCTGTCCATATGACCATACAGCAGACAGTTATTTTGGTATCCCTTACTCAGTTTACTCATACCTTAAGCTGGGTTGTTTTAATAATTGACAGATGGGTTTCTTAGGCATTTGGGATACAAACCTACTTTTTTTAGGTTGTGTTCAAAATTATTAGAAATGTATAAATAAGGTTAAAGCGATAAAATTAGGATAGTTTACTACATGTAACATCTCAGTGCACATTCAGGGCAGGCCTTTCTGTCTGCAAAGCACATTTAAAACAAGAAGTGCCAATTCTGAGAATACACTACTATGAGAAAGCAGGTGGCATTGACGACAAGGTTTGTGAGCATTATAACTCAAGAGCGAGATGACATAAGGTTTTCAAATTCATGCCATGAGTACATCTGATAAACATCTCGGACAAATTGGAATCTCAATGACCTTGACCTCAAGTACATAGGTTAACTTTTTGAAAAGCACCTAGGGTTTCCAGGTGCATCTGAGGGTGTTACTGGTGTAAAAGAAGGTTTCAGGTTTTTCCTCAGTAGCTGAAAAGCTGCTCTGTTGGATTTTAAATGAGGCCATTGCACCTCTATTATACAGTCATTGATTCAAACAGACACTATGATCATGAATTTGTTCTACTCCTGCTTGGGTTAATGACTTTGGTTACATATCGTTAGCTTCATAGCATAAGTGCCTAAGTCATTTTTTGGTCAAATTGAGATTTTTGCCTAACTTTACTCCCCTACCACTGCTGCATCATCCTGTCCGTCTGAAACACAAAACACAAAAAAATGACTTAGGCACTTATGCTATGAAGCTAACGATATGTTAGTTTAAAGACATAGTCTATTAATAGTTGTGGCTATTATAGACCGCAATATGTGTTGAATCACTATGCAATTTGGTGGGATGTATGTCATTTTAGCTGGGAAAAATATATTTTAAATGAAAATATTAGGCTAAAGAAAGAAAACTTCCAATGAGCTTCAGAGTCATTAATTGGCCACCTTCGTTCTTCAACACAGTGTGAACTCTGAGGCAAGCTTTCTTGTAGTTTCTTTAAGTAGTCTTCAGACATAGTTCTACAGGCCACAGTCTCAAACTCTGACACTGTTTTTCTAAGTGTATACATCCATTACCTTTGTGACATTTTTCTGTTCTCCACTTGTCCAGTTTCTTCAAAAAGTTCAAGGTTCAGTACGTACAGTACTGAGATGTGCTAATTTTTTGGCTAATAGAGCTTTGAGATCACCTTCTTGGTGCATAAATACTATTTTATATCTGTCCAATTGGTATCTTTGGGACTTTTTGTAGATTAAAATAGAATCTTAGTTGTTACAAAGAGCTTTAAATAGGCTCTTAGTAACAACGTGTCTCAACATAAACTTAAAATTATTTCTTTGCTAAGTTGTCATGTTACGCATAGACATGACACTGGTTCATCCCTTGAGTTTAAAGCATTTTTTATGCGTGAATGTTACATAGCTCGGTTGTAAGCAGTTCACCAAGCAAAAAACACTCCTCTGAAGATGGGTGCAAGGCAGAGAAAAGGAAAAACGAGTTGCTCAAGATCAACAGTTTTCAGTTTGACTTTATGGAAGCAAACAAAGAAATGAAGGGCGAATCGAGATTTTTGCACAGTATCATAAATGATGTGATTTAATTATTTGCATGTTTAAGGTTACGTTTTCTCGCTGCACCATCTCGTGGTACAAACTGGTATTACACTGAAATACAGCCCAGGCCCAACTTTAGTACAGATCTCTTCAACACAGTACATAGATGTTTAGAGAGAGAAGTCACAGTGGATATTTCTTCACATTCTGCTCACAGCTAAAGTTCAAAAATGAGGCCGTTTAAACTGTTATAAACTAAACAGAGGAAAGTCACTGACTGAAGCAAAACAAAACTTAAAGTGAAATAAAAACTGATTTAAAAATGCAGATGTGTTAAACAGTGTGGGTTAATGGTTTTGAATTGTGTTGAATTGTGAAGTGTTCCGGTCTCATTGAGCCTGTCATGTTTCCTGTTGGGGCCCCTCCCTTTGGCACGCTGCTGTTTGCGGCCACATTTATAGCCGTCTTCGGGATTTGTTTGTGCTCTGAGACGCCCTGTTTCTTCACCGCAGACGCAGGCAGCTGATGATGATGATGACCCTCTGGGTTGTATTTAAAGCCCAGGGAAAGCGGAAGCCTGGCCTGACTGTTATCTGTTGAGAACTGCTAGCTGGTGTAGCCCTACACTGAGCAGCCTTCATCGTTAGCCGCCTGTGCTGTTCACTCATACATAGTTATTAAACATGAATAGAGAAGGAAATGCGAGCTTTTTCGGACAACAGGACTAAAACCTCACCAAGAAGAAAGAGGAGAAGAAGAAGTCACGGGTGAGTAGCTGTTAGCTTTTATTTGTTGCTTTTTTCCACCAAGCGGACGGCTAAGCACTTCGCTGACAGCTAGCAAACAACACAGCTGCCGTGAAAGTGAAACTGATTAGAAAATGCTTCTTTATAACGACATTTTCACTGTGACGAAGTTGGATAGTAGTTATTCGTGTGTAAAGAACAGCAGAGATACACACAGCTAATTTGAGTTGCCGCGCAGTTGTACAGTATCATAATTCAACTCTGATCCAGACAATAGTCTGGTTCAAATTCCCACATCTGTCTGCAGCGGTTAGTTCCTGTAACAGAGCCACAGTGAAGGAAAATGCCCCAGTTCCAAAGCTAACTGCATATTAATGTATGAGGGTTTATCATTGTAAGAAACCCATCATTAATCATTCATTCAAACGTGTAATTTTTGTTTGATCTTGACAAAATCCCTGCATTGATGTTCCCCAGCTGACGAATCCATACACACAGCTGATATTTAAAAGACTCGGAAAACAATAGCTTAATAGAGTCAGCGGTTGCCTTAATTTGGGGTTACCTCTTTGTTTATTTAGGTCAGGGATTGTACCTCTTAATCACCCCTGACGTACCCCCTCCCAATCTCCGTATGCATAAACAATAACACCAAGCAGCAATAGGGAAAAAATGCTCTTCGGCTTCACAAAGCTGTTCATCATCTGGCTCTGTTAATTCAGGATTTAACAAATCAAAGTGCATAAGATTGTGACTCAACTACAACGAGCTATAAATAATCATAAAAGGGCTTTGTTGTCTAACTTCTATTTAAACAGTGAGATGCTTGACTTAAGTTGAATCATCTTTTCTCAGTTGCGAGGGTTAGAAACAGCATTCATTGCCAGATGTTGTCTAAATTCTTGTTTGATTGAACAGCAAAATCTCATAAACAGACACAAACATTTCTGCACTGGCTGTCATGTCAAATCTCCTCTTGAAAAACAAGTGTTGGACATGGAAGAGTATACTGGGTTTGCGTATAAATGCTGTAGTTTACCAAGGGTATGTACAGTGCTAAAGAGGTTTTATTATCAACACTAGCCCAGTGTTAACCCACATAAACAATAGACTAGTAGCTCAGTAGTTCTTTAAAAGTAAGTTGATAAGTATTTTCAGTGAATATTCCCCCCAAATCCCCATTAAAGTTCCATATATATCAAACATGCTACTTTAAAATTATTGTTTCTTATTTTATTGCTTGTAATCAGTGTATTTAAATTTTGCTTATTGTGTTCTAATTCATTTGTACAGAATAGGATACATTTTTGAGACAGCAAGAAAAAATGTTGTTAAGGGTTATCTGGGTTAAGACAGCTGTTTATCAGGCTGCTGCACATCACATTCACTGTCACTGACCTCACACTTGGTTTTATAATGGATTAGCAGCTGCTTTTGGGCAAACTGGCCCACCTCCAAACGGACAGCTTTCTTCTAAAAGACGGAACGTCTTTTCTGGATAATTTTAGCCGTTCCCACGTGGTAGGAAATTAATCATTTGTGAAACAGACTACAGACATTTAAGTAACTCTGTCACAGTACTGCAGTGAGCCAAATGACGAACAAACTCTGGTCTACTATCACATTTTTATATATAAAAAATGCTATACGTCAGTGTCTGTTTGATCAGTTATCTGGTTAGTAACCCAGTTACCGACTTCCCTGACAGTACTAGAAACATTAAGAGGGAAGTGGTGAGTTGGGTTATTGCAAAACTGTAATACCATGTTGTTTGCTAGTCATGAACATGAACATGAAGGTCAATAAAAACAGATGGACTGTAAGCATAATATAGCAAACATAAAATGACTCATCATGATAGTGCAGGCATTGTACTGTAGCTGATTTCCATAAGTTCCTTTTCCAAACCCAGAACTTCCCTCCGACAAGCCTAATCTGGACACTAAAGTATTAATGGACAAGTGCACACTATAGCACACAAAAAAAACTTACTTAAAACAAAACTTGTCTCCTTGATCCATTTATTTAGTTTGAGCATTTGCAGAGTAAACCTGGGTTTCTCTAGTAGTTGGAGTAAAATTACTTGCTATCTCTCCACCACAGACATTTTTTAAAAAACGATAATGCATTGTCTGTGTGTGTCTGTTTCTCTGCAGAGCCACTAGAGAAAAACAGGAGCAGTTTGTGCCTGGCACTCCCCCAGCCTCCCCTCACCTCCAACCCTTCACACCCTCCAGTCCATTCGTGCTGCCAGCGAATGGACCCTGTAACAATGACGACCGGCGGGTGCTGCCACCTCCCCGGCTCTCTGTGTGACTGTGCCAGCAACACAGGCCTGTGGAAGAGCGTGGAGGAAGCGGGCGGTGACGGGTGCCAGGCGCTCTACGTCACCCAGGTCACAGCCATAGATGGACGGTTGCTGTCCTCTGTGCTCAAACCAATGAGTGCACAAAGGTACTTTAAGAATATTACTGTTATTGCTGTAAGATGTTCCACAGGTAAACTTTGAATGGGATTGTATTGTGATGGCAGCTTCTCCAGAGATAGGAAAAATATATATATATATATTTTGCTATAGTTGCTAAACTTGTGATTATGCCTTGTATTAACACTATTTCAGACAACGCACTTCTCCATTTTTCTTGTTTTTTGTGGGTTTTTTTTCACATTTCTTCACTACACACCCATTGAATATTATTATTATTCTCTTTGGGATAGAATGGTAAAACATTTTTGCTGTGTTTCATGCAGACGATGCCTGCCATTTATAAAAATCTCTGTATATTTTTTATCTCAGTGATGGTCCCATTTGCCGTATTTGCCATGAAGGAGGCAGCAGCGAGGGTCTCCTGTCTCCATGCGACTGCACAGGCACTTTGGGTACAGTGCACAAGAGCTGCTTAGAGAAGTGGCTGTCGTCCTCCAATACCAGCTATTGTGAGCTTTGCCACACAGAGTTCAGCATCGAGCGCCGACCGAGGCCCCTCACAGAGGTAACAAAGGTCAATGCCCTTTGCCTTGTCTGCAACAATCCTTCTTCTCATCCTTTTTATTCATCGTGGTTGGGCTGCTGGTTGTGAATGAGTGTGTATGTATGAAAGTGTGATGGTGCTTTTTATCCGTCTTTTTCTTGTTTTACATCTCTCTCTGCTTGCTTGCTTGCTTCTTTGTTAATGCAGAATGTCTTTTCTCTTCATTAGCTTCTTTCTTTTTACCTGGTTTCTGCCACAGTCTGACTTCTTTCTGTTTTTCTTCCCTCTTACCTCTTACCCCACAGTGGCTGCGAGATCCCGGCCCCCGTAATGAGAAGAGAACACTGTTCTGTGACATGGTGTGCTTCCTGTTTATCACTCCTCTAGCAGCTATTTCTGGCTGGCTTTGCCTGAGGGGCGCTCAGGATCATCTTCAGCTGAGGAGCTGGCTGCAGGCTGTGGGCCTCATTGCCCTCACCATTGCCCTCTTCACCATCTACGTCCTTTGGACTTTGGTAAAAAAAAAAAAGAATTCCCATCCATTATTACTGTAAAGCAAACATTTTCACTTGGAAAGGTTGATGTATAATGCTGCACTTCGGTTTTCTTCAGGTATCATTCCGCTACCACTGTCAGCTGTACTCTGAGTGGAGGAGAACAAACCAGAAAGTACGTCTGCTCATTCCCGAAGCCAAGGAGTCGAACTCTTCCCAGCATTCCTTGCTCTCTAATAAACTGATGAAAAAATCGGCCAGTGAGAGCATCGTATGAGACCAAACGGAGATAGTCGATGATTATTACATCTTTTACGTATGAGGGCTGATTCCCGATGCAACCTGCCCACAGTTTTGACTTTGAAGAAACACCTGTGGGGATTTTTTTGTGTGTGTCGCTTTTTTTTTTTTTTTCTTTGCACCATGGGCTCATATTTTTTCACATTGCATTTTATAATCCTCACATGGGTGCAGGAATTAGCACATTTTAAAGGAATCTGCCTGTCCTCGTGTCAGGTGTTGACCAAGTTTATGCAAAGGCACTGAGGAACGGTGAAGGTGGTGGAAGCATGCAGAAATGGAGCCGAGCTGTCTCATCATCACAGATGTGACAACATGACTGGCTAAAACTGACAGCATAAAACAAGATGGATCGAGTAAACTTGTTAAAGAGGACTGTGAAATTGAATGATTGTCCTGCTTGGTTTAACAACCCATCGATGGTCAGGTATAGCACGTCTACTCATTGTGTATTGCGATGATAAAAGCAACTGCTACATACGCCTTTTAATCGTGTGTTACGTGGGCACGCACTTACCTACTTGGGGCTTCTCTTCTCTGCCCACTGAGGATCTCGTTGTATAATCACATATTAGTCTGTAGTGTGAAGATAAAAAGCTTTGATCTTTAATTTTTATTTCATAGTCACATCTGGATATGTCATCTGAGTGGAATCTTTTAACTCACAGCTTTTACATCATCTCATCCGAGACCAGGCGGCTGCATAACATTTGTAAAGCAGAGACTTGTGCAATAAAACACTGTGGACATCGAGGTTTTCGCAGTACACGAAGACAGTTCTACCAACGTGCACAGTTATGCATGCAAGCAGCACTGTTAATATTTTTTTTTACTCTTATTGTATTCTAAAATCATTTTTTAAACCACTTAAGAACGAATGACTTTCCTATTCCTACTGAAGTAGGGTTTAACAGTGTCCTCATAGAGGTTCTTGTACTATCAATATGTAACAAGTAGGTATTTATATTTATATAGATGGATAGAAACTCCATCACGAGTATTGGTGTGGTGGCTGGGGCAGTGTACAAAAGCGTTATCGGTGTTGCTTGTTATTCATTTTTGGCGTTTTCCTTTTTTCTTTTTTTTTTCATGATCGCAACAGTCAGAGAATTCCTGCTGTTCTTTAAGTTACGATTAAGCATTTGGTCTAATGTGATGAGAAACTTTCTTAATCTGGGATTTTTAGTGCTGGTAAACCCTAAAGGTAACCGCCAGCATTTTGATGTTACTGACCAGACTCGCCTGGAACTGGCTGTGTTGGTAGAGTTGGGAGATAGCTGAAGTTATTACAAACTACAGCGTGTGCCTGGTATTCAGATTTCCGGGTCATATGATGGTCCAGTTTTTGTAATGTGAAACATTGTTTCTTCTCTATGCTTAATTTAGGTTACAGGGAGATGTCTGATTGCTTTTTAACGCATGCTGTAGGCTGTCCACAGGGAGACAAGCTTGTAGATTTAAAAAAAAACCCTCCCAACATTACATGTACTACTAAAAAAATAATTTAATTCAGTGGATCTAATGAAGCCAATTCAGCTTAGTATTGGTCTGAAATACTTTAATCATTTTTATTTATAGATTTGTCTTTTAATGGGTTGCAATTAAAAGAATTCCTCCCCTTAAAGGGGGTGTTTAAAGCGATATAAGTTTAAAACTAACCTGACGACGACCTGTTTGGTGGATTTTTGATTATAATTCCGAGAAAGGAATTGGTGATGCATGACGCTGTCATGGTGATCAAACTGTGCGATGCCTTTTGATTCTAAATCTATCATTCTTGGTTAATTATTTAAATATTTACCTTTAAATCAGTCAGGCTTGAATAGTAATTTATTAACATGATGTGATGTGTGGTGATGTAAAATTTATCAGAGAGAAATGTGTTTTTAGAAAGGGCTTGTGGTAACATTCAGCAGACAAATCAGATCAGTGAAATTATTAGTTTCCAGCAAGCATCGTACATTTTCCCCTCCTGTCCTTTGTTAATGCTACATAAATGTGGTAAACCCAAAATGAGGTTACCAGTTAAGTAGGTGGTGAAGCGTTAGTCATGTAAAGATGTCTGTTTTCAGGAGGAATGTTGACATATGCTTGTGTTTTCCTCCCTTTTCTCACAGTGCTGCATTACCAGTAACGAGTCATTTCCTTGTTTACATTACCAGTTCCCTTTGGTACATTTCACTCCTGCTCGTTTGATCCGCGTTCTGCCCCAGATAAATATTTGTTTTTAAGAACAAAGGATTACACCCTGCAGTACTGCGGTGTGCTCGTCTGCCTTGCAGGCTTATGATTAATTTGGTCATCCGTGTGTTTACCCGAGAAAGTACTGGAATCCGTTTGTACGATGTGCAAGAAATAACAGATTTTTTTTGATGCAATGCAAAATTATTTCCTGTATTGGGAGTCTCTGCAGAGTTGCATCAAACTATGCAACACTTCTCCTTTTTTGGCTACTAAGAATTTCTGACAGTGTTTTTAGAGAAACGTAAAAAGAGAGTCTAAAATGTTTGTGACACGTTTAAGACAAATTTGAGTCGCAAAAGCAAATATAGAAAGGGATTTTTTTTTTTTGGATTTCTTTGTTGTTACTCACACAAATGAACACGCAAATGTTAATAATGTTGCGTTATAACACATTTGTGAACTGGGCATGTTGGGTTTTTTTGTTTCATCTGCAATTTATGTTGCTATTCCTCAGTATTATTATTTTTTTTATATTGTTAAATACTACAATGTTTATGGTGTGCTGTGGGGTGAAGGGATGTCTTCATCAATGTACTGGTACCTGCAATCAGCCAAGAAATGTTTGCAAAGCAAATAAAACATAATCATAAATTATGTGATCATGAATTTGTCAGTGACAGTTTGTCTGCACTTGTGTAGTGTTGGTAAGGAATTGTCATATATGTTATATAGTGTAGTTATAATGGATGTTTACAAGTCCTTCTAGTGCAGTGACGATGACATGTCATTAAGTCTGTTTTGAAACTCAGCTCAGTGAGCTTGCTAATCCTAATGGAAAAAAAACCAAACGCTAATGTCAAGTCCTTCTATGGTATCCGTGGAGACTCACTCAGTATCTGCTTCCTGTCCGCTGCATGCGGCATAAGCAGCTTAGAGTAACACAAGTTCAAAATATGCTGTTTTTGTGCAGAGGGTCTGCTCTCCAGGAAGGAAAAATGTTTTTCACAGGTTATTATTAGGAGTCAAAGCAATGTTAAAAGGTGTTTCTTCTGCCTTCCTACTTGCCTGTCTTGCTCTCAGTGACAGCAGTTGCATTCTAGAGATGTAAATCTTGGTGCGCTGCTCCAAGTTAAATGATCTAGATGGTGACCAGATACAAAAGAGCTACAGAGGATATACTCAAGTAAAAAATGCCAATGTATTTTTAAAATATTAAAGGGGGGCTTCTTTATATCCTGTCATATACGCTCTCTGGCCTCTTCATTAGGTACAAATCTTGAGCTGTCAGTCACATGTCATAAACTTTATGCATTTAGACATGGTGATAACTGCTGATGTTCAAACTGAACATCAAAACGTGGAAGAAATTAGATTTTGGTGACTCTGAGTATGATGTAGTTGTTGGCGCCAGACAGGCTGGTCTGAGTGCTGATGTACAGGGGTTTTCCCAAAGAAAGAAAATGAAAATGAGAAAATATCCAGTGAGCAGCAGTTCTCTGGGTGAAAATGTTTTGTTGATGCCAGAGGTCAGAGGAGAATGACCAGACTGCTCTGAGCTGATAGGAAGGAAACTGTAACTCAAGCACTCCCTACAACCGAGGTATGCAGAAGAGGATAGTGGAAGGCACGGGAACCTTGAAGCTGGGCTACATCAGCAGAAGACCACACCAGGTGGCACGCCTGGCAACTGAAAACAGGAAACTGAGGCTACAATTCACATGGGCTCACCAAAATGGGACAATAGAGAATTAGAAAAACGTTGCCTGGTCCGATAAGGCTCCACTTCTGCTGTGACGCATGAGTGGCAGGGTGAAAATTTGGCACAAACAGCATGAAAGCATGGATTCATCCTGCCTTGTGCTGACAGATCAGATGACTGGTGGTGGTGAAGATTTTCCTACAACAACCCACCGCTGACGATCTTCATGCTTATCACCGGCATACCAATCTTCTAATGCCTGCGTCCAACACCTTAGATCATCTCAAACAATAAGTTCACTACACTCGAATGGGCTATATAGTCACCACATCTCAATCCAATAGAGCGCCTTTAGGATGTGGTGGAACAGGAGATATGGATGTATGGCCACAAATCTCTGAGGAAGAACTGCATTAACTTGTTGAATCTATGGCAGGAAGAATGAAAGCAGTTTTGAAGGTAAAGGTTCCTACCCAGTGCCCAGTAAGTGTATTTGCAGTGTTACACTGGTGGATGCTCATACTAAAGATGACTAGTTTCAAGTTAAAAAAAACAAAAAACAAAAAAAAAACAGTTTTTTGCATGTATTGATGATACCCCTAATGTAGTCATCAAGTGCACAAAGCTGGCTCTGAGCAGAGGAGCCGACCTACCTGCTGTTCAGGTCTTTTGTTTGCAAGCAGTAGCCAGTCAGAAGGAAAAAGTATATGTATAGATGGATCCATTGTATAAATGGATAAGGAAAAGTTAAAACCTCCCTAAAAAGCCCATTTAGTTGATTCAGAATTCTGCAGCAAGCGAGCTGACAGGGGTAAGACAGAGAGAGCATGTTTTTCCCACACTGCCTTCTCGTCATTAGCTCCCTGTTAAATCCAGAATCAAATATGAAATCCTTCACCTCACTTTAATCAGGCCCTCATGGTACCATATCACTCCAAAAGAGCACTTTGCTCTCAGACTGCTGGTTTACTTGTGGTTTCTAGAGTATTTAAAAGTAGAATGGGAGGCAGAGCCTTCAGTTTTCAAGCCCCTGTTCTGTGGAACCAGCTTCCAGTTTGGATTCTGGAGACAGACACACTCTCTACTTTTAAGATTAGGCTTAAAACTTTCCTTTTTGAAGCTTATAGCGAAGCCTGGATCAGGTGACCCTGAACCCCCCCGTAACTAAGCTAGGCTGCTAGGGGGTTTCACACTGAGTGCTTCTTCTTCACTCACCTTTTCACTATATCTTTAGACACCACTCCGCATCTAATCATTAATCTCTTGCTCTCTTCCACAATGTGTCTTTTATTTTGTTGCCCTCAACCCCAAACAGTTGTGGTGGATGACCTCCCCTTACTGAGCTTAGCTCTACTGAATGTGTCTTCCTGTTAAAGTGGAGTTTTTCCTTCCCACTGTCACTAAGTGCTTGCTCAAAGAGGGGGTTGTCTGATTGTAGGGCCTTATAATATAAAGCACCCTGTTGATGCTATTTGGCAATATAAACTGAATTGTACTCTATCAGGGTCCAAGAATAAAACATAGTAATCAAATTTATGATCAAAGACTTGATTCGACTTAAATTTCTGTACTAGCAGCTGTATTTTCAGATTCGAAAACCCAGTTTTCTAACTTCAAAAAGGCATAATTCAAAGTTTTAAATATTTACATTAGTAGAGTTTAGAATGAGACATTAACATGTAAGCAGTTATGGGCTCAGGAGGTTGAGCGGGTCATCTGCTTATTAGGCTACTTTGTCAGATACTGAGATCCCAATTACTGGAAAGACGTCAGAGTGAGCCAGCTAAAAAGTGATTAAAAGCATGAAGTAAAGAAGTCAGAGAGGAAAAGCACTGTAAGTACCAGTCCATTGAACATTTTAATGTTTTTCACCTACCTTACACTTACACATGTAAAATAGTTATCTAAGTGACTTCAGAGCTAGAATTAAAATGACAATATTTCAGTTTGTTTTTGTGTGGAATAGTTTAAAATTGTCCACGCAGTTCAGTACATTTCTGATGAGAAAAAACAAAAACAAAAACAAACAAACAAACGAAAACCAAACAAGTCAGAGTATGTTAAATATCCATTTAACAAACTGCTTCAGTCAAGGATTTTATTGTAAATTTACACAGTTCTTAAACTGAAAGTAAAACAATGATGACTTCAGCCAAATCTTCTTCAATAAATACATAATGAGGATATTTTTTGGCATGATTTAAGAAGGATGTAAGAGCCACACTGTCAAATAGCACAATACTGCTTCACCTGGTTGGAGTAACTGTCTGTAGTTTATTTACACAGCACCATCTAGTGGTAAACCATTGAAATGTATCTCACAACCTCCCTTTAGAGGACAGTTTCAGTTCAAACAACTTTACAGGCATCAGTAAGACAGCAAAGACTGCCTTGCTCCTGGGTAACAGGAACCTTCACGCAGACTGACTGAGTGACATAAAGGCTTCTGAAATGTTTCTTTCATGGCAGAAAAGAAGAGCACAAGTGACTTCAAAAGTACTTTATAAAACAAAAGTAAAGGTTAAAAAAAAGATTTAAAAAAAAGAAAAGAGGCTAAAGTGGTGAGGGAGTTGGCCGTGAGCAGAGCTACGGGGGGAAAAAGTGCACAGGTGATGTGATGTGGAGGTGAATGTGGAGGAGAGGATGAGTGTCATTGGACAGAGCGTCACAGGCTCTGGCAGCACTGGAGTTTGTTGCCCTTCTGCCCGTCAGTGGTTGGCGGGACACTTATATCTACGACATTGTTGCCTGGAGACTCGTCGTGTGCAGATCTGTCTGCTATCTGCTTCTGTGACACGATGCGATAGATTTCTGCAGACAAATTTGAGAAGGAGGAAAAAAAATTACACTTTTGCAATGTTCATCATTTAAATTTTAATGTTCTTATTTATTTAACTGGCTGTGCAGATTAAATATAAAAAGGTACTATCAGCTGCTCGTGCATTTCCCAGAGTCGCCGCCACATGTTTTGATCTGGCACAGATTTTTATGCCAGATGCCCTTCCTGATGTAACCCTCCCATTTATCCAGGTATCAGCCCAAGGAATACACTAGTTTGTCACCCTGAGGTGGGGTTTGTTTCTCTCTCAGTCCTCTATTTTTAACCAGGGGGTGTAAAGAACGCTAAATGTGTTATTAAATAAATAAATATTTAACAGTAGCATGTAAGTTACACTTACTGATCAAACTAATCTAAATATGAGTGCATTTAAAATGTACCAAATTTAAGTAAATATTAATTACAACCCATGCCTAAATCCCCAGAATTAATACATGTTAAAGTATGTACAGTAGTTATATAAATGTAATGTCTTATTTCCTGCTTCTATTTGGCATGCAACTAACATACATTACTGTCAGAAAAAGGTCTTGATTCGCCATCATTTCTTTACATTTTACAAGGAAACTGACAGCACAGTCTTCAGGAATAGTTCTCCAGGACATTAAAAGCTTTTCTTTAGATAATGGATGTCTTTTTTTCCCATTCCCTGACAAGATGATCCCACACTCCTTCAATAATGTTCAAGTCTGGGCTCTTAGGAGGCCAGTCCTTACCTTACAGTGTTCTGTTGTGCGTTTTTCTTCTCAGGTATGCCTTTACTGGATTGACAGTGTGTTTGGGATCACTGACAAATGAAGCCGTTGCTCAGATTTGGCTTATTCAAAATCTAACCGTTCTTTTCTGTATTCATTAATTTTGACAAGATCTCCAACACCACTAGCTGAAATGCAGCTCCAAACCATGACAGAGCGTCCACCATGTTTTATAGATGGTTGTAGACACTCACTGTTGTACCTCTCTCCCGAGTTCCTCCAGACAAAATGATGGCAATATAAACTTTGGATTTCAAATTTGGATTAATCACTCCATCAGGCCTCTTGGCATTATTTTTCAGTCCCATTCTTGTGTAACTTGGCAAACACCAGCCTTTTCTCTCTATTTATTCCCCCTTAC